CCGGCCCCCGGAGGGAGCACGGAGGAGCTGGTCGAGGGCGAGGGCTCCGCGGCCGCCGCCCAGGCCCAGGCCGAGGGCGCGGGCGGGGGAGGGGCCCTGCAGGCGGCCATCCAGGCGGCGCTGCAGGCGGCGGCGCGCGAGAGGTCCGAGCTGGAGGCGCGCCTCGCCCAGCTGGAGGCGGCGCGGGAGGACGCCAGGCGACTGCAGGTAACACAGGGATCCTATGCACTTCAGTAGGCGCGGGTCCGAGGGGGGGGGGCTAAATTGTTTCAGTTACTATTAATTTGAAACTTATAAGCAAAATTATTTTCCGGTAATAAACACGAATAAAATGGTATCGCAGCATGAGCCGAGTGCAGCCTGCGACATTTGACAAAAGCTGCAATATGACACATTCGACCTCAACATTTTGAATTTCCCCTTCCAAAATGTGTCTCTGGATCCGCCCCTGCACTTCCTATGTAAACCTTTCGTGGTAAATTTTCAGGAAAAGCAAACTTGAGGTAATAAGATAAATTTTTGGACAAACATGTAATTGCATTACTTTTAGAGAGAAATAATTGAAGTACATATTCCCATTGGTAAAGTACAATTCGCCAAGGAATTCCCACTGGCTCGTAACAGACATGTTGGTAGCACGAATTGCAGCTTATAACAAATGAAAAAGTAGTGTACTCACCATAATCATAAGGGCACCATTATAACTATTAAAAAGGATCTTGTACATCGGGAAGTCACTTTTCTTTGCACTCCCGCCTTATTCCTGCATTGTAACAACATCTTTTTAATCAGCGAGCACTCGCAAATAGGTTGTATGAAAATATGAAATGTTTTACAGATAAGTCTCTATTGTAATGAAATAGACAAAATATACACGTATAATTACTCGAATATGCGCTAAGAGGTAACATTCGCCCTAATGTACACAAATATGCACGAACATTTTAATCTAAGTAGCATCCAATTCTAACGAAATGTCAAGAAATTTTACTTAGCTATGCCCTGAAGCAACGGACAAAAATATGCAAAATCATAGAAATTCGTTCTTCCAAATCATCAACAAAACGACGCGCGGGAAATAACTAAGATGCGCCACGAGCAGGTCAGAGGATGTGATTACAAATTGCATTTATATTCGTAACGACCACAACAGTGGGAAATTAGTGGACGGGACAACACTTCCAACATGTGTTATGAGCGTGGTGAGTACGCAGTTACGTTCTTCCGATATAATTCCTGCCGCTAGCAGTTGGCCACAGCGGAGAGGCATCGCGAAAGTAACGATCAGCCACAATGCTCGCGAAGGTGGTAGCCGCGGCTCCTCGATAAAGCTCTTCTTTTTTTGAATTTCTTTTCTTCCTGTTCGGCTGTTATGACTTTCAGGGGTTTCGATAAAGCTCCGTACTGCTCTCCTTATCCCTCCTCTCCCCGAACGCCGCTCCTACAACAATTAAGAAAACTCAAATATTCCAAAATAAGGCCCTCGGAACAGCTGTTAACTCCCTTTAGTATACATGCAACACAAATCTACACAAAGACCTAGCTATAGAACCCGTCCTAACATGTCACCAAACTCTACCCTGAGTTACCGATACATCTCAATTCAGTCTAGATAACGAACATCCGTCTAGCAAGCGACTCCTCTTCATATTTTCCTCCGTAATCTAGCCAATGTTAGATAATACAGGGGCGGATCCAGTGACGAATTTGTTTGGGGGGAGGAATTTGTGTGTATGATATGTGTGTGTATGTGTAATTTACTTTGTTTCGGAGTTAATATTTCGTGAAATACATCAAGTTTTACTCAACGTATTCAATAAGGATTTTGTTGGTCATGCGACACATGTATCATATGTCTGTTTCTCGCCACACCCGCTACCACTTGTCAGACTTTGCGAGGCAAATTTTGGCTCTCAGATCTGGTTGAAACCTAGTAAGGGTGAAAGATGCGGTATCCTTGATGAACCCCAAAAATAAAAAAATAAGAAAACAAGTGTTTGATCCGGAGAACTCGGGTCCACGCAATTTCCGCTCCTCGGCCCAACCGCCGTGCAGCATTTCCAAACAGGAGGCCTTACAAGCATCTTATCAGTTTGTTTTCGTATGGCTTGAGGTGCAACAATGTTCTCAACTCAAGCCAAACACATGTGGGACGCCCACTGTCGAGAAGCACACCGGGTTCATTTTGTAGGATTGGTAGTAAAGCTTTGCCTCCCTTGCTCTATGTCATCGTATGCATGGGGGACGACTTGAGGATTTGCTGTCTGAGGGGCCATCGTTTCATTAAATCACTTACGCCACTTATAAACAGTATGCATACAGGAAGCATCTTTACCATAGTTTGTACGTAAACGACGTGGCCCATATGTCGCAGGCCTTCGAATTGTTAGACCAAAACACGCAGCGAGCACGCTCGAGACCGGTGAAGGGAGGGTCAGGTCCTCGGCCGGCAAATCTTGTCTGAAATTGCTGCTTGCGCATGCGGTGCAGAACTTGATCTATCACTCTTCAAGATGGCGCCAAGACTAGATCTCTGGGTCGTATTAATAAGTTTGTATGAACATTCAAACTTGTAGTGCCCTTATTGAAACAGCCTCTGTGTGTGTGTGTGTGTGTGTGTGTGTGTGTGTGTGTGTGTGTGTGTGTGTGTGTGTGTTTGTAAGCACTATAGCCAGTGTGTGTAAGCAATATAAATTATAAACATCATAAAAGGCTTTTAACAAAATTAATATATTAAGTTTAATATTTAATTAAAACTTTGTGGTTTTAAATTTAAAAAATAGTAATAATTTCGTACTAAAATCGCTGAAATCAGAGCAGCAAACCGACGAAGGATTAGGATTATTATATTTTTCATTCAATGAAGATGTGAACAGATAGAATTTAAATAAAAACGCATGATATCGATTTACAAATTCAACATTCGCTTACATACAAACATTACTGTCCAGAGCCGAAGAAAGTCAGGATTTCAGAAAATATGTCTCAAGCCTCTTCTAATTTTTCTTTTTATTTGAAATCTTTCTCTTTTCTTCTTATTATTTTTAGGTAGTTTCTTTCTCCTCTTAAGTACTTATTACCTGGCACGTATGCGATTAATGTCCTATTCGTTTGTGTTCGGGCGGTTTTTAATGCACAATGTAAATTGAGCGAAATGCCACAGCTGCTCCCGATCACTCACTTGACTCCGTCAACACTTTCCATTTGCGTCGGCCACTCCAAGACGTTTAGTCGCCGTAGCACCGCTTGTCAAGCGTCACACACACCTCGGGAGAACAGTCTTCAAACATTTTCCGTACGTACTACTGGGTTAAAATGCAGCGAGAATCAGTATTCCCTTTCGTATCTAAAAGACTAACGACAGAACGCGCGGTTACTTTATGGATACATTTGAGACGTTTCTACAAGTTTCTCTTGTGTTTATCATTTTTATTTTTCTTGCACTTTTACCATTTCAATTCTTTTTCTTTAGGCAATTTTTTGGGGTGTCATGGCCCTCTTCGATCCGCCACTGCGATTACATCAGTAGCATATCCAACATCTTGAGTTACGCACCTGAATTTGTTTTGATAAAAACGTCTTTGCTTTTTAGAGCATTTTAAAAACAATTTAAGTGTATTTTATTGATCATTATCGACAATGTTTTGTTTATCAAAATCCGCCCACCAGTTATTATATTACCCCATTCAAGGGATACTGTATGAATGCCCGACTTTGAGTCAAGTGTAATCGGTAAATTAAAATAGGGTTGTTGTTGTTGTTTTCTTTTTTAATGTTTTGGTCGCATGTGTCATTTCATAGATTAATTATAATAACCCTGGTTAAACTCAGCTTATACTGAGATACGATTTTATTCGTTTTAATTATTTTTCTATTTTTTTATTTAATTTTCTCGCTACGATGTAGAGAGAAGGTTGTGCAAGAAAAAACGGCGAAAAACTCTTAATTAGATATAATTTTTTCCCTTATGAAATTATTTCAAAGATTTACATCTACCCAAGAAAAAATTCTGCAATCGTGGGTCTGTTCTATTTTCCTTTGTACGTACATTTGATTTCTTTATTATTTTAGATTTTTTTTTTCAATTTGTTTAAAGATAATTGTCAAAAATGAAGGTTTGTACTTCAAACAATGTTTCAACAAATTGGAATATTTTGATTTTTTTTAATTTATCACAATTGAATTATTTAGTGAATGAACTAGAATGATAAAAATACTGTGAAAACTAAATAGTCAGGACTTGTTTATTTGAGAAAAAAATGTTAAATTTTGTGAGGACATTTCAGTTCATAAAATTGAAATTAATGGCAGATTAGCTATTATTCAGTAAATAATTTCATGGGTTACATGTTGCGAAAGAATTATATTTATATCTTTAATTTTTTTAATATATGATGTTTCAAGTGCATGAATATGCGGAAAATTCCCAATTCGGGGAAATACAGTCATTTTGAAAAAAATATTTTCTCAAATATTAAGAATCGTAGAAATATATGGTTTAAAGCATTTAAAAGAAAATGAAACAGAGCCTGCTACTTAATACAAAATGTCTGACATGACATTTCACGATTTTTCATCATTCTTTGGAAGACAGTTACCGTAAAGATTTTGAAATAAAGTCCGTACAATTTTTCGAAACTTTGAATACTTTTTGCATAATTTTGCGTGAAAGTACATACTGTTTTAGCATTACTAGTTACTTGAAAGTTTAGTGAGAAGTTGCAATTATAGTTACTGAAAAAGTTTGCAGGGGGGATTTCCCTCATCCCGCCCTTTGTGGATCTGCCCATCGATAATGTAATAAATACTCCTCCCATCAACAGTTGACAATATGCGTTCCCCCACTTTAATAGTCACTGCTTCATTCTAATGTTGAAAGGGAGGTCGCCATAGCCACCTCCTTTATTTATTAACGTAAAAAGCAGGTAAATTCTGTGTGTGACGTGCTGTGGGAAGAAGTTAATTTGAAGTTACAATAATGTCCAGCAGCAAAGCAAGGGGCCATCTCAGCATCAAGGATCAGGGAAACTGGACGAAAATCTAATTGAGATGGGGGTTATTGACCCACAAGCTGAAGTACAACCCCTTCGCATCTTTGTCTGAAAATACTCGCCCCTAATAACTGAAAAGCCATATGGCTGAGCGTTGTATAATTAACTCATTCTGCAATAAAAAATTGAATAAAGGTGATAAACAATAGTCGAGTA